GTGGGCGTGGGTGTGTGTGGGTGTGGGTGTGGGTGGGATGTGGGTGTGGGTGGGCGTGGGTGTGTGTGGGTGTGGGTGTGGGTGGGATGTGGGTGTGGGTGGGCGTGGATGTGGGTGTGGGTATCATTATAGGTCTTGTCTTCACCCACACCCTGTGATAGACATGCACTTAACATAAGACAAGTTAACCCCCATATAGCCATACATAGGGATTTTCTTTGTGTAATATTTGTCATTGATAATAAAGTCCATTCATTAAAGCTGAATAACGTGCATTAATTAAAGCACGAAAAAAAAACTAATGTGTGCAAGTAATAATGATATAGGACGTAATAAAAGTAAAGCTTCATATGCTAATGTTGATGATTGTTTTATACGTGCATATAATTCTTCAACAAGTTCAATAAGAATATTATCTGATGATGATATTATTGATGAACCATCAATTATTGTTTTTTCTTTATTAACATGTTCATTATTTAATGAATTTGTATTTTTATTTGGTCGTTGTAATAATGTATAAATACGTGAAAGTATTAACACTATATATCATTTTTGGGATATTGACCAACTATTAAAAGTTTTTCAAGACTAATTGATATAATTTTCTTGTGTTAAATTATCATCTTTAATTAATGATAATCAAATATCATATGAATTTAAATCAACTTTATGACTTTCAAGTAAAAATAAACATGATGCATATGCATGAGTTTTAATTATTAATTTATAATTACGTTCAATTAAACGTAGATATAATTCATTATATTCTTTTGCTATTTGTCCAAGTAATATACTAGATTTACATAAATTATAACTTATTGAGGATATTATTAAATCATCTTCATCAAACCATGTACAAAAATATTCATCATATAAATTTGATAAATGTTATGATAATGGAAATAAATCAGATAGATATATAATTGAACCTATTAATTTATATTACATATATTTCAATTAGAATTTGTAATGATAATGTTAAATCAAAACCATGATGAAAAAATAATCGATCAAATAAACTCTAAATTATATATTTTTAAAGATGGATGCCAGAAAAGAAAATGTTCATACTCTAACTTTCTGATTGATAGAATTTATTTGAAATTATTGATATAATCTTTTATCTCTATGAAATAAGATAGTTTGCATGTATTATATATCAAATCAAAGTCAGAGAAACACAAGATTTTCTCTTTGATGAAATTAGTAATTTAGCAATGAATTTATCTTTCTCTTAAGTTAGAGTTCTGTTTGTCGATTATTAAAACATATGTTAGACTTACATTAACTGATAATGGTAATGTATTATTACTTTGGATTGATGTTAATATAGTATCATATGAAAGTTGTCCATAGGATAATAAATCACGTGTACCTAACCGTTCAATATTTGTAAATAAATTATTTGAACTTGTATCTAATGTTGAACGTGTTTGCATTTATTGACCACCGATAAAAAAAAACAGATAAAATCTAGTTTATTTTTCAATCTTGTTACCATTGTGTTGCATTTGTTTCTAAAGTTTCTTCTTTTTTTTTTAAATTATTTGTTGTTTGTTTATTTTCATCATTAGATTGATTTGTGGTGAATTAATCGAAGCTAAAAATGAAGTCTATATTTCTTGAAATTGTATTCTTGATAATCAACCAACTTCAAAATTGTCTTTATATAAATATTGGTAAACAAAATAATAATATAGCTATACAATGTAAATCATGTCAATAAATATATGATATATATATATAACGGGTGATAAAAAAGTTTTTGGACAACATGTCGACAGCTAAAACATGTATAG